CCTCCTCTGGACGAGGTACTTGAGCTCCTACTGGAGTAAATTTTGTTATACCAGCAACATCAGAAGTCAGACCAGCCTATAATGTATACAGCATATAAATAATATAAGTAAAACAGCTAGCTCTATTACCATATAAGCAGCTTCTCTCATCATTCTTTTCGCTCTAGCTTTCCATATAGCAGGGACAGTAATGACCCAATCAAAAACAGTTGCCTTGTACTGGCCCCTCAGCTGATCATCCAATAGCTTCTCCTTGAGGTGCTTTATGATAAAAGCTATAACTTCAATGAGATAATAAGACCCTCCAGTGAACGAAGTGACCACAGTTGTACGATTTACATCCTTCATAGATCATTATGATCAATATTAACTTAAGTATATATATAACTAACCTTGTCTCTATACAATATATTCTTGATTCTTTCAAAATAGACTTGATTCATTCTGTTTTGAACCTTTAGTTTGCTATACTGTATTTGTGCTTCTAGCCCAATATCTTCGACTTCACATCCTCCATCATCAGTTATCCTTAGCAGTATAGCGTTGGGGACTCTCTCATAGGTTTTGAAGAGCTGTAGGATTCTTGTTTCGCCCCCATCCAGTGGAGTGGTGTATGCTACTGAGAGAGACGAGGTTCCAAAGTCAATAGCCGCTATGTAATTGCTTCTCTGGTGTACAACTGAACCAGGCTCTTTCTCTAATTTTTTTGCTCGTGATAAAGGCAGCTTTCCTTGAGGTTTTGCTACAGAATCTTCGACTCGGTCTTCGAGAACAGTCGCCATTCTAAAATTCTTTTTTTTTTATCACGTGATCTTACACAAAGCTAATAACCAATAATAATAATCTTTAAAAATAATAAAATTAATTATTCAAGAGCATATTTGACTCTGGTGCAAGCAATATAAAACTCATTTGGGTTCCCAGTCTTGTGCCAGCCAATAGGTCCGACTTCACAATCAGCACATATGAGATACTTAAGGTCTTCAACCGATCGAGAGAATCCAACATTCTCAAAATGAAACATATCCACGACAAGCCAGTGATCTTTTATTGTCTCTCCAGCAGGTTCGGTACCAATAGCATACTTTGTTGTCATATCGGGAAGAAAGAACTAAAAAAAATTAGTATTACTTAATTAATTGCATAATGCAACAGGATGCAATAGCAACAATAGTCAATGTAAACTGTCAATAAAATTATGGTTATGACTAACTAAAATGACAATGCAAACTGCCATCATATTTGTTTAACATGAATTATAGATCTAACATTATATAAAGGTTTATATCATACATAGTCAAAACGATTTCATTACCTCTTTGTCAGTAAGAGTTCCTGTTCCCGGTTTCATGACTTTACATTTGCAGTTACCACAAATCAACATTAGAGAATTCTTCTTATCATCTCCATAACACTTAGCTAAACTGCATTATGCAAAAATTTATATTAAGAAATTAGAGATCAGATAAAATTAAACTATTAATTAGACTCACTCAAAATCAATCAGTTGTACTGCGTTGGACTTTGACTGACCAGTCAGTAGCTCTGCAGTCACTCTACTAATGGGAACAGCCACTTCTTCTCCTTCAGTAGATTCAGCCATGTCAGGTACTGCTTTTGATGATTCTGGTTGAAAAAGGTGTGGCTAATTAATTTATTTTGGTGGAAATTGTGGGTGTGGTTTTATTAACCACGCCTACAAGCATGGAAACTAGGTTCAAGAAAAAAGAGAGCATTTGGAGCAAAGCTTTAAAGCAGAAACAAGAGTGGGAGGATAAGGCAAGGATCTCTCCTCATAGTATATTTATTGTGTGTTTGTGTAGGATGATCTGCTTGACGTGGTGTATTGGGTGAGACAAGTAATATCACTGATAGTTGGCCTAATGTGGGGCACCATTCCATTAACTGGTGTTGTAGGTATTGTACTGTAAGTGGCCGTTCATGTGATTATATATTGGGACAGACATTTTATACTAGCATCATCATCATATTACATATTAATAAAAATGGGTAGATGTGTAACAATCACATGCTTTCTCTCTTCCTCTCTCCTTCCCTTTCTTTTTATTAGGTATTTAATGATCACGTGTGGTTTTGTTTATTTCTATTGTACATTCTATCAAGGGGTTAGTGACGAGGAACTAGGAGGAGCTTGGGAATTATTGAAGGAAGGTTTTATGACTTCGTTAGCAATTTTCTTTGTAAGTCAATCAGGATTTTTAAAATTAAAGAAAAATTATTAATTAGCTTGTATGAGCATAATTATCAATTACTTCACGAATGATGAAATTTCTAGAGCCATTTTACTACTAAAATTGGATTTTTATGATTTTTAAAGTTGCTCAAAAATTCAGCCAAATACCCTGTACTATAGTACAGAGATTTTGACCAAATTTTACCAAAAAAGAAAAAGAGAGAATTCTCAATTTTTATACTGTTTTTAGATACATATACATGTACTTATATTGTGTAGAAAGTTTGAATTGATTCCGATCAAATTTGGATTTTTTTTGTGAATTTTTAAAGTTAAGTTGCTCAAAAATATTCAAAAAAATGGCTAGGAGAGAATTCTCAATTTTTATAATTTTTTCTGATACATATACATGTTCTAATGTTGTTTTGAAAATTTAAACTAAATTCAATCAAAATTGGTTTTTAAGATGAATTTTAAGTTGCTCCAAAACTTGGACCACGACCCTGTACTATATATAGTACATGAAAATGACTACAAGAGAATTCTCTTTTTCTGATAATTAATAATGGTACATTTTTTATTTAGAAAGTTTGCCTATGATTAGCAAAAATGACATGATATTGATATTGATTTTTTCCCAAATCATTAAATATGTATTCCTTTAGGTGAGTTGGATATTATCTTTCACTGCTTTTCAATTTGGATGACAGTTTTAAAGAGACTTTATTATATTTCATTAATTTATTCATATGAGGGCGTGTTATTGAATTAGCCAATTCCAAATTAATTATTGAATTATGCAGCTTATGGTGGTTTTGTCAAGGGAGGGGGAAGAAAAGGAGAAAGAATGGGGTCTAGTGGAGCTTCAAGGAGTACTAGAAACACATCAAGGACAATCTTTTGATAAGCAATTTATTGGTGACTTGCACTTCACAGCTACTGGCGTCCCACAATTGATTGTAGGCCATCATCTACTGACTGGGAAAGTGGTCTCATTAGACAAGCCATTGGCAGTCATGAAGAAGGTTAAGGGAGACGGGAGTACGAAGGAGTATAACATTATTGCTGTTATAAAGAGAAAGATTATATTTAGAAATAGACCAAAACCAATTGTAGGACTCAAAAAGTAATTATTGTATTGTAAAATGCACTTCACCTCTTGATATTAATAATAATTATTATTAAAAATTGAGTAGCATGCTAAATTCTAATGGCAACGTGTATAGCAGCACTCTATATAAAAAGCATGTGCAAGTTTTATAGCATTTTAAGATAAGCTCAGCAAATCAGCAATCATTTTAATAAGGACATCATCCTCGGGCCATTTACCGGCTATTGTACCAGGATCATTACCTTTGGCTTGCCATTCAGCAAGACTCATTTTGCATTCTGTCACTTTACCATTTGGAGTATAAATTTTGTTATCATGGACAACTGTCTTTCCGTCCCCAGAACATGTTGGAGTACCATAATTGCCATCAGATGTTTGAACAACTGTGTTGTTATAGAAATAATCTTCATGTCCCTTCAATTGGCCATTAATAATGAACCCTGTGCCAACATAAGCATATATATTGTTATAATGGCGATTGTCATGCCCTCCAAAGTCGTTCTTCATTCCTCGGCTACTGTAAGCAAAGAAATTATCATGTGTTTTGTAATAGTTGGAGCCATCATCATTATCAATGGCCAGTTTGCTATCGTAATTAGCTATCATAAAGTTAGAATATATGTAATCCCAATCTTTTTCAGGACTAGCTGTACCGTTTCGAACTTTAGTAACAAATACTTGTCTGTCCCAGCTATTGAATGGACCATGATCCCCAGATTCACGACAGGTATTGAACTGTAGGTTCTCAGCTACAGTACTTTGTCCACCAAATCCATCGTTGAAATTGATTCCAGCACGAGGTCCATTGAAGTTAATGTTCCCCATGATGGTATTCTGACATGATTTTGCTTGAAAGTAAAAGGATGATTGTTTCTCCCATATGCCTAGCTCGTGAACAAAGTTGTACATGATGCTCATGTTACGTGGTTGATTCCCATCAGTTCCATCCCAACCCATTCCTGGAACATCAGTACCACTTGTGTATCCCCACAATGCAATGGCAGTGCTACCAAGCCATCTAAACTCATTGGTTGTTATGTTACCAAATCGATTATATCCTGAGATCATAATACCATTACCATCAAGGACTTCAAAGATGCAACTCTCAATTAGAAGATTCTCAGTTCCTTCAAAGAACAATGCACCAGTTCTCTCCAGTG